AGCAGCCGCAGCAGCGGTGGTGCTGGTCGTGCCAGTGGTCACTGTGCTAGTCTGACTCTTGACCACCGACGGGGGTCCTTTGTATTCGTGGAACTTGATGATCCTTGCCTTAGACGTCGTCTTGGGCTTTGCTTTCTTCGACCGCGACTTACTGCTGCCGCTGCTGCTGCTACTGCTGTTATTATTGTTATTGTTGTTGCTAGGAGACGTGACAGACGAGACTCCAGCACTGGTCCCGGGGAGGCTGATGGACGATTTCGGACTGGTCGCCGAGGCGTTGGCCACCGCCGCGGCTATAACGGAGGGCGGGGAGACAACGGGCATCTGCAAGGGCTTCTGGGTGATCACAGGGATGGAGATGCTCTTGGCGAAGGTGAAGGACAGCGGGAAGGAGGGCTCGGAGGGCGGGAAGGGCGGGGCGGAGCTGGGGCTGCTCACGTCGGACAGGCCGGAGGACTCTTCCACCGAGGGGGACGGCGCCCCCTCGCTGCCCGCGCTCTCCTCGTCCTGCGGGAACTGGCCCGCCTGGTCCGTCTCCATCCCGTCACACGTGGGCACGAACTGCAGGGTCCCATCTAGGGCACGGGGAGACAGAGACAGATTGGGGGTGATTGAAGGACACGGAAAGACACAGATTGGGGGTGATTGAAGGACATGGGGAGACAAGAGACAGATTGGGGGTGATTGAAGGACATACAGGTACACGGATGGGGAGCGATTGAAAGACACAAAGACACACCGACTGGACGTGATTATAAGACACAGAGACACACATTGGGAGCGATTGTAAACGACTGAACATGATATCCTCAGGGCCCCATCTAGGATAAGACTGACAGAAACACACTGGGAGTAAATGTTAACAGCTGTACACAATTGATTCAGGTCCCATCTAGTTTGTTTATTTGTTTGAGTAAAGAGAAGCACATGGATACAATAATAATCATTTAGTGCTGGGAACAAGTAAGACAGACGCACAGAAACAACAGAGGGAAAGAAAGGACGGATGAGCTAAGAATGGCGCCTTCGCCCACCAGCACCTTGGGGGGAAAGTTTAGTTTTAGTGAGAGTTTTATGGCACTTGGAACACAATAAAGTCATATAAGTTCCCACCATTAGAGGAGTTATAAGAGATTAACAAACACAAAATAGAAGGAGGGGACATAAGTACGATAGATGTTTGATAGGAAAAAAAGGAGCAGAGCACACGCCAACCACCCATCTAGGGGAGAAAGAAGGAATGCAAAAATCACAAAGAACTGTAAATGACAAACAAAGTTTTACCCACACACACACCAACACAGTTAAGATAATTAAGTGGCTGGCTTCTTCCATGAAGAGGCAGGCCTCTTCGTTCCCCTCTTGTTCCTGATTTATGTTCCCCACTAGACAGAAGAGGCAGAGAGCGGCAGAGTTTTTACAGACTCTACATCAACTGAATTTCATGAATTATAGCTGTGTTTTTTTGTCTGGTGTGAGCAGAAGGTGCATTGGCTTTCTGACAGGAGGACGCCGATTTGGAAAGAACTTTGAAGTGTCTGAACAGACCAGAGTGTCCTCAGTATTTCCGGTAGGTCGTTAACAGAACTTTGCCTTAGAAACGGGCCTATTCGCCTGATCTTATCCTAACAAGAGAGAAAGGGACCGAAAAAGAGAAAGAGAGACGGGGAGAGAGAGAAAGATAGAGTGAGCACGCATGTACCTACACATACACACACACTTTTCTTTCTATCTCTCCCATGAGTACGATCAAACATGTCAAGAGCTGAACTTGTTTTTGGTCTTTACCCCAGAAGTCTAGATATACTCCATCCCACCTGAACTGGAGCCAGAGGAGCGAAAAACAAAAGAGAGAGGGGGAAAAAACGACCCAAATCATTCAGTGATAACAGTTGCACAAACACAGGACTGAAGCATGAAGTTTGGCACTTCAGGCACGTACTTTGAAAAGGTTTCCATACGTACAATACAATAGCTTTTTCCCCACCCCCATCCCGATATGGTGCCTGGTATTTATTTCTTAGTTACACGTGAGAAAGTGTGTCCACATGGAAGTCATTATTACGCTTCAAAACAGGAAAAGGGAAAATTGTTTAGAACTGAGTTCAAACTGATAGCTCAAATTTTCCCTCTATGATGATCCCTGGAATACCCAGCAAAAGCACGGGGCACCAGAATCTGTCTCGTGTTTCCACACGTTCAGTACCAGCGTCTGTGGTGTAGCAGTTACACACTTCAACACCGCTTGCAAAAGCCCCGACAGTCGACTGAGCCACCAAAAGCGCAGTTTACCTTTGAACCCCAAAATCCAGATGTTCCTTTGAGCCCCCATAAGTGCAGTTTACTTTTGAACCCACAGACCCCAAATTTACCTTTGAGCACCCGCACATCTAGGTTACCTTTGAACCTATACAAGCCTCTTTGAACAAAAGTCCCAAGTTTACCTTTAAGAACCAACAAGCTAAGATCATCTTTAGGTCCCCACAAAACATGTTCACACTTGAGCCCACATAAGGCCAAATTTGTTCACCTTTGAACCACCCACCCCCTCCCTCTCCCACAAGCCCAGCTTACCTTTGATAGCGTTGACCAGTTCGTTGGCCGGCTGCAGTATGTTCCCTCTCCTCTCCCCCACAGGCCCCACTTACCTTTGATAGCGTTGACCAGCTCATTGGCAGGCTGCAGTATGTCCCCTCCCCTCTCCCCCTGATGTCCCTCCCTCCCCCTCCTCCTCCACCCACCACTCCTCCCCTCTCTCCCACACCCAGCTTACCTTTGATAGCGTTGACCAATTCGTTGGCCGGCTGTAGTATGTTCCCTTGCACCAGCTCCAGAGGGCCGGGCCGGTGAGCGAGCTTGTCGTTAAGGCCATCCAGGAGACGCGAGCGCTTGAGCAGACGTTGGCGCTCATGGAGAGATGGGTCAATCGTCGTGTCTGTGGGGAGAGACCGGGGTTTAGTTTCATATAGCACAAGGTCTGCTTCGACTATCAAGGCACCTCGGAAATAGCCGTTCACAAGAGAGTGACAAACATACAAGAGAAGTAGAGAAAAAAATGACGATAGTAAGGACGAGGAAACAAAAAGCAGGTTTAGTTTTTAGAAAGATTTTACGGCATTTGCAAAACAATACGGTCAAAGAAGCGCCAAAGATTAGAGGTGTTACAAGCGAGTAACAAAAAAACACAAACAAAGAAGGAACAGAGATAAGAACGACAGATGTTTGATACAAAAGAAGGAGCAAACCACATCAGAGCACCCGCCAACCTCCCACGGTTTGGGTTTGAGCACAGGGAAATGTATTGACACAATGGGTCATTTAGAGCAGGGAAGCGGCGAATCAGTTATACAGAAAGGATAGAAGGAAAGAAAAGAAGTAGGGCGTACGATCTCCCCTCTCCATCAATCCGAGGTTAAAATAGAAGCAATATAAAGAGAGAGAGAGAGAGAGAGAGAGAGAGAGAGAGAGAGAGAGAGAGAGAGAGT